AGAGAAGGAAAACAATAAAAGAAGTACATGGTGTCTCGAAAAATTTATTTCATACCTTTTCTTCAAGGTGGTTTCCTGTCAAACTTAGCTTCTGATCCAGTCTTTTAACTTCACCTCCAAGCTGGAAAAAGAATTTCACATGCACGATCCATGTTAAAAACCATAAAAAGCGATGAGAACAGATAAAATGAGTACTTTATTAAACATTATATTCAGCCAGGCAGCAGGGAGCAATTTTTTCAAAATCTTCTTTTACTTTTTCCATTTTTCCACACGAAACACATCCACATTGTATTTCATATCTATAAAGTCATATACTCGCACGGTAAAAACCCTTAGCAATATACGTAAATGACTCTTCAGTTAAGTTCCGACCCCCAGTATCATATAACAAAGTTAGTGCTTTCGTTTTTTATGTTAAGTTTGAGTTTTGTGAAAGCATTATTGCATATTCACATTAAGAATTACCTCTTCTAAAGCCTTATCCTTCAGGACTTCAGTTGCTCTTAGTGCCCGGATTTCACTGTGAGCTTTTCCCAGTTCCCTCTCTTTCTCTGAAACGAGGCAATTGGGTTTGTTATATACCTAAAAGATAATATCTTCTCCTATTTCTTTTTTCAATTTCAGCATACAAACTAAAGAATCCATCAAATCTAAAGAATCCGGATTAATACCCGACTTAATAATCAACATCAACTAGATTATGAAATGAGAACCTCCTAAAGGCTCTAGCTAGAGACTTCAGAAAAACAGTACCGGGGCATTTAAAATTATTGTCATGAACGACATACAAGAATAAAACATCTCATTGCATGAACTATGGCAGATAACCATATTGTACTCCCACTAGAACATACTATTCCTCTGCACATAAGTATCAGATTATGGTTACCTGTTCGTAACTTGGTACTAAATATGAACAACCTTCCATAGATTATGGAAAAAATAATGAAATGTCATTCTCTAAAATACAATATAAACGAAAGTATGCATTTCATAGCATAATATGCATTTTTGTTAAAAAAGTATGATGGGTTGACCCACCTAATAGTTAGGCAAGAATTTGTGATTATGCTATAATCCCCATAAAAAGCAGGAGAAATAGTCCACTTAATATGGGACCGCACCATCTTTCNTTTGATAGAACAACAATGTTAAAAATACTGGAAAACCTCCAGAAAAACTCCAGGGCACAGTTTACACAATAAAATACCAGTTTGAAAAATCCTCATAAATTTATTTCTATAAGTTTGACTCTGATGTCATAACATAAATAGTGTCTCAATAATGGAGCAATAAAGCTCATAATATCTGTACCATACAATTCTACAGGGACAATTGAATACTCAATTTCCGTGCAAATACACAGAGATGCACTAAAAAGACAACTCCCCATTCCCATGAAGAGCTTAAAAAGGTCATAAAAACAACACCTTTATAGAATAAAAGAAAGAAAAAGAGTAACCTTTAAGCTGGTTTTGAAGCCTGTTGAGCTCCAACACAACAGGGTCTGTATGAGAAACAAAGGCAACATTTTCCCCATAAAACTCTTCAAAGCCCTGCATTTTTCTTGAACTCTTCCCTTAAATTCTTGATATCTCTTTTCTTTTTTCGGTTTGCTTGAAGCTGCAATTCACTCAACAATAACACAAAAATGGAAGGGGGTTTTATGGAGTCACATAAGAGGGGAGTTGTTATGGGTTTAGTAAGCTTTATTAGGAGAGATTTATAATAAACAAACAAACACGATACTCCTGCTCCAGAAAATGAGAAGGAGTCCATTCTTGCAAGGAATTGACCGCAAAGAGAGGAGATGAGAATGGGATTTTTCTCCTGTTTTGAAGCAAACTCTCGAAAGCTACAATTAGCGAACCGGCCGGTCCACCCAGCTCGTGGCCCTTTTCCTCCTTTCATCTCTCTTTAACCGTTACATGTTTGTTTAACAAACACCAAAAGGTAATAATTAATAATAATATAATTCTTTCTTTCATTCGCTCTCTTTTTATTTATTTATTTATTTTTAATTTTTCAAGAACTTGAATAAGAAGAAGAAAGTGTAGTAGTTTATTGCAAAGCATAGTTTTGGTGAAAGATTAGTTTTTGTTGATTTCATAAAGAATTGACAAAGAAATTGTTGATCGAACTTTAAAGAGACAATATGTAACAAAAACAAAATGACAAGAAGAGCAGGTGACATGATTGTAGCAAAATGAATGAAGCTTGTCATTCACCAAAAAAACCCTTTTAATTTAAGCTTTTCGGAAAATAAATTTAAGAGTCGTATGAAAAATGATATTAGAGGATAATGGAAAAGGAAATAATCCTTAGGGTCAGGATAATGTTGATGATAAACCACTAATTTTGAAGCTAATTCAATTGCTTAAGCGCTAAATCCTCCTAAATATGCTTGGTTAAAGTCCATAGTGGGAAGTCATTTGAATGGGCATTAGAATTGAACCATAACTGAGAAAATGAACACCAAGCATCAAAACCTTAAATTCAAAAGGGTTTGAATGAAGTGGCTTGAAAGTATAAATGAGCGAAATTCAAGTTATTATTATTATTCTACATAAAATAAGCCAATGATCTTTGCTTGGAAGTATATTTTGACACGTACGAAGGGTACAATAGCAAAGTCCCCCTGAAGTTTATTACAATAATCACCAAAAAAACATTGAAAAGATTTTATGCATAATTTACTGTACTTCCATTGTCTCAGTTTAAAGGTGCAAATGTAATTTTTAATGAATATATATTTTTACATATAAGTGAGACTTAATATTTTACTTAATTCAAGGGAATTCAATATTTAGCCTGAACTTGAAGAGAGCTTTCACAAAAGATTAAATCAAGATAATTAATCATAGTGGGGAAAAAAAAATTGTCATCTGAATTATAACAATTTTCGCGCATTACCATTTAATTTTTTCTTTTTACAACCACCACATGAATTATACGAGTTTGTCAAATTACCTCAAACAACATCTTGCTACATTCATCCTAAACCGTCATTTCGGGCCACTCTGCAACAAAATCCCATACTGATCAATTTCCTTCACTCCTAACTATTAAACGATGGTACCGAATTCACCAAATCCGCTTTGGTTAGTGTCCCTGAGTGATCTACGTCGAGTTGCTTGAACCACTCCATCACCATCTCTACATCCTCCCCGCTAATCTTCCCCATCTCCTTCAGCTTGTACACTACAAATTCAGCCGCACTACATACACACAAGCAAACCAAGAATAAAATCATGTGAAATCAATTTCTTCATTAATATCAAAAGAAAAATGCTACAGTCCCGTAACAGAACTATGCTTCTATATAATACTCCAATAAGAAATTGTCACATCACTTTTGTTTACTTTTGTTTGACTACATCTAAGGGTCCATTTCAAAACTAAAAGATCTAATGACTTTTTATTGAATTGAGGGAACCATTCCCACGGGACTGTAGTCTTTCCCCAAAAGACAAACAAACACACAAAAAGAAAAGAAAAAATAATAATTAATGACTCACCTCACGGCATCATCGTTATCCAAATCCGCAGCCTCGAGATCCGTGGACGTGAGCTCCCTCGACAGCACCCACTCGACGAACGACTTCCTCCTCCTCTCGGTATAAAGCTCTGCCCCACAGTAAAAAAACTGCGCCAAACAAACGGTGCTCACCAAAATCCAGACTGCAGCAAACAATCGGCCACCGCCGGTCGAGAAGCTCTCGTCCCCATACCCGAGCGTCGTGATCGTGGCACAAACACAATAGAACGCATCGAAGGCATCCAAACCCTCAACCGCGCACAAGAAAGCCATCCCAGCGGCCACTAGCATGACGAGCGAGGACAAAACCGTAAAAAACTTGTACTTAACCCTATTGGTCTCGACCTCCCTCAAGATCTCAGCCGGGGTGCACCGGTCCCGCATGTGGATGGCCTTAGCTAAGAAAACCTCCTGGCTCTCGACTATGGTGTCGGCAGCCTTGCTGAGGAGGAGGCCGATGAGGCCAACGCCGGTGAAGACGAAGGCGCACGCGAGGGACTTGGCGAGGGTGCTTTCGGGGACGAGGTCGCCATAGCCGACAGTTGTCATGGTGACGATGCAAAGGTATATGGCGTCGATTATGGGGTCGGTTTTGGTTCCGTTGATGTGGTGGCGGACGAGGTAGAAGGATAGGGCGCCGGACCCCACGTACGCGAGTAGGATAATAGAGGCGAGCTTGAAGTCGAGGCTGTTGTTGCTGTTGATGTTATTGTTGTTGTTGTCGTCGTTTGGGGATGTGGGGCATGTTTGGGCAAGATAGGGGGAGTTTTTTCGGCAGGTGCTTTTGCGTTTGGTGAGGGCGTTGCTGCGAGTGGGGCCAAGGGGTGTCGACCGGTCGAGGAGGGGGTTCTCGGCGTCGTTCTTGGCCATTATCTTAGACAAAACTTAAATAAATGAAGTATTTTTTTTCATTTTCCAACTCTACAACAAACATGAGTCTATCTCTTTAATTGGCTTATTAGCTCTGTGAAAAGAAGGGGGACATGGCAATATTAGAAATTCAATCAATGTGGGGATAGTCACTTCTAATCTGGATATTAGAAATTCAATCAATGTGGGGATAGTCACTTCTAATCTGGACTCAAAGATGGAGGATCTGTTATTTGACCGAGTTCGACATTTGCAAGAGTAATACACGCGCAGAAACGTAGGTAGCGGGAGTGCAGGACCATGATTAAGCTATAAATAGAAAGTAATTTACACAACAGAGTTAGGCAAAAAAAAATGTGAGAGAGAGAGAGTTTAGATTAATAATGTTCATATATTAGTTAACAAAACTTAATGGGTGAGGTTGCCTAGCCATTAGGCCTGTCGACCCATTATATTTTTATAATAAAAATGTATACATAGGTTATGAAATGTCATACTGTAACAACAAATTCGTGTATTGAATTTTTAATCACGAAAAATATTTTATAAATGAATTTCTCGAATCAAACAAATTACATTTACACCATAAGAAAGAAATCCAAGAAACAGAGATTAGTGTTACGACTCGCAAAACCACTCGTGATCGAGCGCGTCTTGAGCCGATATCCTCTCCTTTGGACTGTAACACAAAAGCCGCGAGAGCAGCTCAAACCCACTCTCCGAAAGCAACAGCCCACCTTCCGAAACAGTGGCAGCACCAAACTTCTCGCGCAACAAACCATGAGGCTGCTCGAGATTGGTCTTGATAATCCCAAGCTGCTGGATTTCCGAGTCCCCTTTGAAAAGCACTTGCCTCAAGAAGAACTCCGCCATAATGCACCCGACCGACCACATATCAACAGCTGGCAAATAGGTGTGGTCCCCGAGCAAGAGTTCAGGAGCCTTGTACCAAAGGGTCCCCACGTAAGGGGTGCAGAGAGGATCCAGCGCGCTCGGAAACTGACGGGACACCCCAAAATCGCATATCTTGAGCTTGCCCTTGTCGTCAATAAGGACGTTGGAGGGCTTGAGGTCCCTGTGCATCACCCGATTCTGATGAAGGTGATTGACTCCTTCAAGTAGCTCCTTCATAAGGCGCTTCACTTGAGGCAGAGTGAAGGAGGGCCTCTTCAGGTAATCGTAAAGATCGTACTCAGCGTACTCCATCACGATATAAATCCCGTCGCAATCGTCCACGGCCACGTGCTTGTACTCCACGATCGACGGGTGGCGAATAGACTTCAGGATATTTAATTCGGTCAGCGTTGACTCGCATAGCCCGCCCAATTCCTTCTTGACGGCAACTATTTCGCCGGTCATCTTGTGACGTGCTCTGTAGACGACGCCGTACGTGCCCTGGCTGATTCTGTCGAGACACTCGTACTCGTCTATGCTTGCGTAACCGGAAATTGATGATTTCTCGACTGATCTTCTCTTCTTAAGACTCTGAACATCATCGTCGTAGTCGTCATCGGGCAACCGCACCACCTTTTTCTTGATATGAATCCCGGCGGCCACTTTTGATCGGTGGGCCCTTTTCCTGCCCGGAAAAAACGCCTCGTATCCAGACTGACGTACTACTGCACCTGTCGCCATGCTCTCGAGAATTTTCGATTGATTACACTAATTTCCTCGGAAAATATGGATGTAATTACTAATTAGGCGGTTCGATAACTCGGGAATTTTGCGGTGAGTGAACAGAGAATTGTATTTATGATTGTATCGCTCTGTATACTTATGGTAACTTTTACATTGTATTTGGAATATTATAATCCAACTAATCATTGTATTTGGATTCTTTTAGGTAACTTGTTCTCCAAACTCTTATTTTGTGTCCAATTATTTCGTAAAATCAGCTTTGAACTTATTGTTTATTATTATTATTATATTATTATTATGGTATTTGGATTCTTGTAAGGTAACTTGCTCTCCAAACTCTTTTGTCAATTATTTCGTAAAATCAGCTTTTAACTATTATTATTATTATTATTATTATTATTATTGTTATTATTATTATTATTATTATTATTATCTACTAAATTGTCCAATTGAATCAAAAAAACCAATAAAAATGCTGAACAAAATGGAAAATTAGATAATTGTACAAATCGATTACATCATATCTTTTTAAATATTTAATTTGTCAATAAAAGTAAGATTAATAAATTATATATATGAAAAATGTTAAGGTACCATTTTGAAAGAATGAGTCCCGCAATCCTTAACGAATAGACACTTTTCATGTCATCTAATAATGGTGTGTACGTTGGTGTACACTAAAATTTCTAAGTGAAAGTTACAATTGCCACAAATCACAATAAAAAAAATTAAAATGAAATTAAAATATATTCGCCCCTAAGAAAAAATAGACAGTTTATCATATGTATCTCAAATAAGAAAAAAAGATAAAAATAATAACATAAACCTAACCGATACACAAACATATTTTTCCAACAAATATACATATATATAGATTGAAATGTCATACTTGACAAAACAACATAAATAAGAGTATGACACTCATAGGTATATAGATTTGATGAGTTGACCCGTCTAACAGTTTGACCGTCTCATACACAAATTTGTAAAGAAAAACTATACTTCCAACTAATACGATACCATAAATATTAAATTCAACTTTTGTTCAACTTTTTATTGTTTCATTAACCAAGAGGATACTAGCACTTTTATTTTGCTGTAATCATAAATAAGTTATTTGGATGAGTAATATTATCCCTCTTAAATAAATTCAGATGTTTTCTAGCTGTGAACTTGTGGTGCTTTACAATCAATGTGTCAAATTTTGGGTGCTTGTCAATTTATAGTGTGTGGACTTTTGTCCATACCTACTAACACTTTAAGTTTATAAAATACTTCACTAACTTAAATTATATGCATTTCAAAAATCAATAGCTTTTACACTTATGATAAATTTTTCATATATGATACATCTTATGATGTGCTTCGATTTAATTTTCATATATCATATATAAAATAAACAATTATATTTATCATTATAATAAAAATTAAGTTATTTAATAATATTAGTTAATAAAAAAAATATTCATAAACTAAATAAATTTATTTTAAAGTTAGTATATGTTTAGTAATCATCCTGTGCATTTGCACAAATATATATAAAATATTATAAGTATGTGCGAATTTAATATTAAAATTCTGGATAATGAACATATTACGTTTTCAATATTTGATCATTAAGAAAAACAAAACAACAAAAAGATAAAAATTTTTAGTATATATTGATTGAAAAAAAATTGTGTGTAATGCAATTTTTATAGTTTGGAGGGATCGTTGTCAAATAATTTAGTTGAAAAAATATTATCATCATCATCATCATCATCATCACCATTATTATTATTATTATTATTATTATTATTATTATTATTATTATTATTATTATTATTATAGCAACAATTGTTTATAAGATTTCAAAGTGGTTTGACTATGCTATTAAAACTATTTAGCTAATTTCTTTTTAGAGAAAATTGTTTCATGAGATACAAAAAAAAGGTAATATAGAAAAAAATGCAGTAGAATTGTTTATACTTATGTAATTTGTATTTTGTGTGAATTATTATTAGTTGATATTAGCATTAACGATTATATAATATAATAGCAAAATATATATGATTATACTTAATTGGGTGTATTAATGTGAAAGGTATAAAAAATATTAATGGTTGACTTTTGTAACCGAAATTGGAGGGAAACCAAAATATTTTTATTGATTGATTTGCTAGCAATTATATATACATAGATATGAAGTATAAAAAAAATAAAGTATTATAGTATAAGATGATGAGTGGGTCTTACAATTTTCATGTGCCACTTTAAAAACAATAG